TTCGTACCTTGTAATTAAATCAAAACTTGCGCTGCGAGCAATATGCAGAAATATGTGGCTTTATTAAAAATACTTGCAGCTATTTTGTATGCAAATTGTGCACAAATTATGTAAAGCAAACTAAATGTATCATCATAATTTTGCAATTTGATGGCCAGCGAGGATAACTATATTTTTCTGGCAAAACACGTGCAATGTGTGCAAAATGTGAAAGTTCTTAATTAAAATGTGCGTATAGCATTTGCTTGTTGTGTGCGCCAAACAAAAGTGAGTCATATAAATGAAATTAGTGAAAAGCAAGCGCATAAAAGCCGTTCGCATCGCTGGGCAAGGAGGTGCGTCCTTCACCGTGCTCGCACACAAAGGACATAACTTTGTTTTCGGTTTAGTGCTGTTGAGAGACAGCGAATGGGTTGTGTCATAAAATGTGACCCAATGTTTTGGACCTGTTTACTTTGTTTTATTCGAGTTTTTGGTGCTTATTGCGAAAGTTTCCGGCTTGCAGCAAGTAGTGCGTAAAATTTCATTGCTATATGCACAAGTTGTGCAATAAATTTCCAAAATTATTGTTCACATTGAAGCGCAACTATTTTATGCCGATATCGATGGGCGACTGTGTGTGCATGTATCTATCTGTGTGCGTGTGTGTGTGCGTTTGTGTTTTTGGCCGTGGCCCGTTTTCTGCACGCATGTCGCATTTTAGGCGCGCTGCCCAATATACCATGTATCCTTTTGTATATCCTTTGTTGTTAGTTATTGTTGTTTTTACGACTTTATGCTGGCTGAGTCTTAGCTCATATTGAGTTATATTTGTTTTGGCAGCAGCTCTGACAGCTGCGCTGCAATCTTTTATTAGGGGTAGTCATGCTGCGGCATAGGCGGAATATTATATATATTTTTTCTTTATTATTTTTATAGATTTATGGCTGTTGGTAAAGTAACAAAGGAGTGGAGCTACTAATGATCTTTTCCGGAGTAGTTTCCACTATTACTTTCGGTAAGTATTTGTGAAAGTGAATTTTCCTTGTAATTTCACAAAAGTAAAAGTATATGGAGTGCACAAATTTCCCACTATTATTCTCTAATGCTAAAACAAAAGAGACATTTGAAGCTCATATGGGAAATATTGTATAATCAAAACTAACTTAATGAAAATTCACCAGATCTTGAAGGAAAATTCAATCGAAGTGAAAGCAGTAAGAAGCCTATTCAAATTGACATCTAGCTCTAATTGAAATTAGCATTTAAAACTGTTGAAATTAATATGTAGCTTAATAGCAATCAGCAGCAATAATTCGCAGACGAGAGCAATTAGTTTGGCTTAACTCATTAACTGTGCAACTGCAAAAACTTGACGCAACGCTCCAGCAACTTTTGCCTACAAACTGTGCCAACTCGGTGGCAACACAACCAACAACATTTGCTAATTTGCAATTAATTAGGCATCATTTGCATTACCACTTGACAGTCATAAACTTGGTCGCAAGCAGGCCAACGCGCAGCTGACAAGTTGGCAGTAAACTTTGACATAACGGAATTGCAACATCGACGCCCCACTGTCATAACTATATGTGTGTGTGTATGCGTGTGTGTGTGTGTGTGTGAGTTCGTGTGTGTGCAGCTGTGGCCACTTTGGCAGCAAACAAAAGGTGCGGGTCAACCAGTTGCGGCAGCCCGTAGCTGCAGCTGCTTCAAACGCATCATTGCGCCTCTTAATTGTTGTTAATTGAAAGTATTGCCAGGGGGTAGGTGAAGAGTGGTGGGAGGGGGGGGGGAGGTCTATTTATGTGTGAGCCGCACGTTGATTGCTCCGATTTGCGACTGACCAAAACTAAATAAAGCAAATTGGCTGCTCTGTACAGTGGCTCTGAAAAGTATGCTATACAAAATGTAAGCGACACCCGCTTTGACCAACGCATGTGTTTGCTTGTGTGAGTGCGTGGGAGTGTGTGTGTGTTTTTGCTGTTATTTGTGTTACCGCTGGGAACTGTTATCGGATTTGCGATCGCGTCATTCAGATTTTTTCTTTCATATGTGCTTTGCGCACCGATAACATTTTGCACGCACAAAGAAAATACCAAAAACCCAATAACCGCAGTTCACCGACTGCGCAATGCTCTGTTTGATGTGTAATGTAAAGTGGCCATAATGCTTTTATTACATATTTAAGCATGCAAACTGAATTGGGTGATTCTTAAACTGTGGCTTTAAGACTATGCGCCAATGATTGTCGACAGTTACTTCTATAACTTGTTTCTACAATGCTTCTAAAACGGTGACTCTTTACGGATATTATAATAGTATGTCTTCCAAACTGTACGTTCTTCTCTTAAACTGTGACTTTTTTGTGTATCCCTTAACCTGTTACTACATTGACTCTAAAATTGTGAATATAAAGTTGTGACTTTTAAGCTGTGATTCTTAACAGATACAATAATTATATGGCTCCAAAACGAAATGCTTAGATTGTGGCCCTTAAGCTGTGACTTATATAACTTGTTAGTACAATTTATTTAAAACTGTGACTCTTAAGCTGTGACTCTTAGCTGATACGTTAAAAGTATGCCTCCAGTTTTGCATACGATAAAGATGTGATTTTCTGTGATTTTCATGTGTACCCCTTAGCCTGTTACTTTACTTGCTCTAAAAATGTTACTGCGATGTTGCTTTAAAACTACAATTTTGACTATGAAACTCAAAATCTACGTTTGAAACTCATAAGCCGTGAGCTCGGAATAATAAAATCACAAATGTGAAACTGACATTGGGTCCTTAATAGGAATTGTTGTAATGTGCATGACGGAAGAATATTTGAATTTAAAGAATATTTTATATTTTTATCTACCGTCAAACTTGGTTTATCTGTTTCGACAACTTGGATATATTTAACATTTTTATCGCAAGATCTTTCTATGGTCTAAACATGGTCTATATATCTGCAGTCTCTAGTTTCAAAAGCATAAGAAAGCTCAAATGAAATGACAGCGAGGCATTGAACTAAACCAATATATGCATACTTTCCTTTGGGAAAAGAGTACAGCAAACACGCATACACACAGGCACACCCACACACACACACACATATGCAAACATGATGCGCGCATGTGGCAACAAATTTTTGCGCATTTGTATTTCATTTTATTTAATTTTCTGTTGAGCAAAACCCTTTGGTATGAGCTGCCAAATCCAGAGCAATTGTTTTTTTTTATGTGTATGTGTGCGTGTTTTTATTTATGTATGTTGTGTTTTACGCGTGTATGTGTGTGCTGTATTCAAATAAGTAACGGCGAGCACACGTCGAGCAGCAAATTTATGTTGTTTCAATAACAATTTGAGCAGAATAACAACTGAGAAACAACAACAACAACAACAAGAATTGTTGGAAAATACAAAAACAATAAAACGGCATGTTGAGTATATTAAATTGACATTTATTTTGATTTTCGTGCTTTTTCCCTTTTCTCGCTTTTATTTTTGATTTTTGCAGCATATTTTGTTGGGCGCATTTAAATAATGTTTGCCTGGACTTTTATGGTTGCCAGTGGCTGTGGTTCTCTGTGTGTGTGTGTGTGTGTGTGTGTGTGTATGAATTGGGTTTATTTTTGGGTTAAAGTGTCGCCGGGATTTCTAATTGTGTGGCCTGGCAATGCTGTGCGGGATTTGGAAACGTGCCAAGGACGCTGGGATGTTGGACAAAAGCTCTTAGCATACTTATCGGCGCAGCGAATGTTGCAAATAGGATAGAAAAGCCCTGAAGCGTTGTGCTGGCAGCAAAAAAAAAAGGAAAATGAAAAAGTAGAATATGGCATAACGATTGTGAGATTATGTAAAAGATATACAAGGAGTTATTTGTGTGTAGTAGGCAGGATTTGTTCACTTGTCTGCAAACAAGGCAATCCGTTTTCATATTACATTTTGTTGTACAATAATAATGCTTAAGCTTTTTGTTGTGACTTACTCCACGCAGGATGGCAAATCCACTTATTTAAAGACTTTACAAAGAGTATAAGGTTATTATATATCCATTTATATATTTAACTATTTGTGCTGGTTGATGGAAGTTCTGACTTCTTGGTTATTAGTTATATTAATATTAACATATTATATTTATATATATATTCATCTATTATCTTAATCTTTCTGATTTAGTCACATCACTCAAAAAGCATTTTAAGCACTTACAAAGTGATCTTCACATTAAATCACAGGCTTTTTATTGGCTCTCAGGTCTCGTAGCTGCTGCTCGGTCGCAAATTTCATCTCTCGGGTTGCCATTAAATATTAAATTTCAAAGCCTAAATCGAAGCTATACCAAAGATGTTCAGCTAACAAAAAGGAAGTGAACAAATGTTCAAGCAGGACATGATTTTTTAATGCACTGGCAAATATAATTTGTGCGCGCTTGGGGCGCACCTTTGGCGCCAAAAACCAAGAGGCGCCTTGGCTCAAGGAATAGAAACAGAATTGACTTTTATGTGGGCCATAAAAGGGGATTTTAATGTTTTTTATGCGAGCGCGCGCCAAAGTCAACAAGCCGCCTGCTTGACCGCAAGCCCAAGGCCCAAAGGAGACCGAAACATAAATCCACGCAAAGAGCCAGAAGTAGATGTTGCCCGAATCGGAATCATGCGTGAGTGGCCCGAACGGGCTAGCGCATTTGCCGGATGTATTTATGGGCGGCTGCTGCGTGCCTGGGCTAAGTAAAAGGCAGCTAGCTGGGGACCAACTTGGCGTGGCATGCCAATATCTAGCTGTCAGTGGCACAGTCAAATGAGTTGGCATTAATCCTGGCAGCTAACAAGCTGAGGCGTCCTGCTCATTTGCCAGCCCGGGTGTCAGCCATTGAGCTGAGCTACGTGCCGGGCTTGTGCCTGTGGTTATTTTGACGCCCACGACTGCCAATCTTTGAGGTGGCACTTAGCATAAAGCTGCTGATAAAAATACAACGCCATGGTCCTGGTCGACTGCTTACCTACATTTCCTTTTAGCAGCGCAAATCCTTCGAAACAATCAATTTGTTTTTATTGAAATTTTCTGCCAGCCGGGCAGCCCACTCACACTCACACACTTGCATATTGTCAATTTGACTAGAGGACATTCATTTCAAGTACACACACACACACACACATGACATGCCGCACAGCAGGTGCCTCTAACCTCTGTCACCTGCCATCCCACCTGGCAGCCTGGTGCTACGTGGCGTATGAGTGACGCATGGCTCAACATTTGTTACGGCTTACGATCTATTCGCTGCCGTCCTGTAAAGTCTTCTACTCTTCTTTTTTATTGCCTGTTTCCTGTTGTTGGGCCCAAAGCAATTGCCGTGTCTCACGGCCTGTCAAAATTTATGCTGTAAAATGTTTGGGCCCGAGCAAAACTAACATCAAGTATACGCCCGGTGTGTAGCCGTTGGGTGGGTGTGGCTCGGCTCCGGCTCATTGTTTGCTTTGCTCGCTTTCATTTTTCAAGCTGATTTCTATCGCACTGGTTGGGTTTCTTTTCAAAGTTTTTGGCATTTTACATGTGCTAACCCACGAACGCCTGCTGTGCTGTGCGGTCTGTTTTAGTCGGCGAGCGTCTGTTCTGGTCTTGCCCCGCGGGTGTTTCCAGTACAAACACTAACACACACACACACACACGTACACACACAGGCAGAAAATCGTGCTCGCTTGTTATCAGCAGATGCTTGCACGCACTGACCACAGCCCCGAACACATCCTGAATTAATGAAGCTGCGCTAAGAATAGGGAAATGTGACCCTAACTCTCCTGTGACTGTCAGCTTACGTTGATAACCATGAAAACTTCCTTCATGTCACTGTTATTTTTAGTTTACGTTATTATTACTTTGAATATATACATATTTTGAATAGGTAACTATATCTAGTTTATCCAACATCTTTAATTTTCTTCCAATTTTATTATTTTAGCTTAAAGAAACGTAATCGAAATATTACTAGAAAGTATTTCCATTTCCTTAATTTCGTCTTTTCAATTCCCATATCATTTTATATTTTATAATTTTCTCTACAGTTATAATTGCGGGAAATGAAAATGTATTCAGCTTTTTATTGAGTTAAGTAATTCTGGCGCACAAGTTGGAATAGGAACCCGTCAGCAGCAAACGGTACACACATTTTGAGTAAAAGCAAAAACCCAAAAGTCTTTGCCCCATTCAATTTACCACTTACATAATTACTATGTGGCATAAACACGCCCCATCGGGGCACGCCCACGTTTATCAAATTGCCACCCGCAGCTCAAATATATGAAAGGCAAAAGTTGTGTTGGCCTTAAATTCCGTTGTTAAGGGTCGCATTTATATATATGTTATATATATATATATGTGTATTTTTTTCGGTGGTCTCGCTTGCAATTATTATAAAACGACGCAGAGGAAGGACAACAGCAGCAGCCGCAGCGCTGGCAGCAACAAGGACTCGTGACGCCATCCGCGCTCCTTGGAGACTCATTTTCAAGTGCTGGGCCGCACAACAATTTCTCAAGTGGGTCAGCCCAAGTGCCACACAGCCCACAGAGTCGTCTACAGTGTAGCAGAAGCAAGAGTTCAAGGATTCTATTGTTGCACAAAATGTAATTGAATGCAATGAAATTACTGTAAAATAAACCAACGGCAGCAACAGAACGAAACGTTCTATGCAGCATTTAATTGCGTTTATTGTTTGCACAGATGTGTGTGTGTGTGTGTGTGTGTGTGTGTGTGTGTGTGTGTGTGCAGAAATTGCTAAGGTCTTCTAGTTCTAGAGTCTATCTATGTGCGACAATGCTTGGGTGTGACTGCAACTATTTGAAGCTCATAAAAGAATTTATATCTATCGAGGTATTTTTGCACGTTTTCCCATTTTCGATTCACATTCGAGACTCTTCTTTGCAGATTAAATGGTCGAGTGGACTGTCGTATAAATGGAAGTTTTGCAGAAAGAATTCGACATCTTATGCACAGTTGAGTTTCTCAAAACCTTCATAAGCTGAAAAGCTGGTGCAACTAGACTAGAGTTTTGTTAGAGAAAAGAAATATTGATAAACAAAATCCTTAGGTACAAAGTATAAGCCAGTTCTTGCTTTGAATTTTTGAAAAATACTTGGATGTATTTCAAGAAATGCTGAAGAAGTGTTTCAAGAAATACTAGGTATGTTTTAAAGCTTCATTCATAGCAAATAAGAGAGAGCTCTAGTTAACAATCAAAATATATACTTTGTTTGCATACAAATTTTTTATATATAATATTTGTTTTAAATTTTTAAATGTCTGTAGGGCAGCTCATAGAAGCTGCCTTTTCTCTATGCACATTTTTACACACTTAATTTCACAGCATTTTCGCAGTCAACAAGCCTGTGCGCTTGTTTTTCCCATTTTACTAAAATGTTCAACACATTTGCCTATTTTATTTTCCGTTTTTCCTTACAAATGAAAACAACTTGAAGCAAACACGTGCTAAGCACACACACACACACAGAGAAAATATGCTGGGGCATGTTTACAATTTGAACTTGTATTTCCTTATATCCAACATTTTCCCGATCTGCCGACAACTTCATTTGTGTTGGCGTGCCCCCTCCCCACCCCCCCTGCCCGAAAAAGTGGCCACTGCCCAAGCAGAACTCAATCAACAGCCTCAGACTGACCCAAATTTAACGATAAATTTGCCGACATCAAATAGTGCACAGCACCAACAAAAACAACCCGGAGCCCATAAAATTGCCAGAGAGTCAGAGGGAGAGGGAGAAAGAGAGAGAGAGAGCGAGATGTGTATATAGAATTCAGGCTTATCACGACGGTTCCAGACGATTGCGTATTAAAAACATTTTTGTAACGCCAATAAAAACTCGCAACGCAAATTTTGCATAATGTGTGCCATAAAAAAAAATAAATAAAAAAAAAATAGGAAAAATTGAAGCATGCTGCAAAGAACCCCCCGTTGCCGCTGCCCCGCCTCTTTCTTCGTCTGGCTCTTGTTGACATTTCCGTTCGGGGGACGCCAACTAGGCAATGGGGTTACAACAAGCCCAACACTCAGCTCGGACTCGCACTCGGACGTATTTTGTTTATAATGTTTTCCTATTTATGTAGCTGCTGTTGCCAGAGTTGCCGTTGCCAGAGTTGCCACCGCCACCGCCGCCGTCTGCAGCTTTGGCTTCGTTTTTTATTGCGCACCATTAAATGGTTGGGATGTGGCCGGGAGGCGTCTTGAAACATGCTGGCGCGCCTGCAGAGTGCCGCCTGATGTTGTGAATGTGCCCCGTGGCCCGCGGCTGGGCCATTTTGTGAGACAAAATGGCAGATGAAACAGCGGCAGCTGCAAAAACTATGCATATTGTTTGTCATTAACAAGGCCGAGCAAAAAAAAAAACAAACTAAACTCGCTTTGATGAAAGAAAGCTGTTACACGCTTTCTGTCAAGTGCGGGCGGGAGGCATGGTTGGGGGTCAGGGGTCGCCGGCTGACATTAATTTTGTTTTCATAGCACAAACCCAAGGGCCTGACAATTCTCTCTGTGCAACCACCTCTTTCATCTGCCTCACTCCCCTGCTCTGTTCTTCTCGGCGTGTGCGACTGCCAAATGAAGACATTCAGTTGCAACAGTCTTTTTTTTGTTGTGCCTTCCTCTCCTATTTACTTGTTTTTCTTTTGGTTTTTCCAACTGTTTCTTTTTGGCCATAGCTTGATTAGCTTGATTGACAGGCCGTCTGCTCTCTGTGGGTCTCGCACGCTCGCCTGTCCTTTGCTTTTTGCTGCCAGCTGACCGTGACACACAAACACAAAGGACAACAAGTGCAAAAACAAATTAGCACAGTTTACAGAGTCCCCGCCCCCCCCCCCCCCCCTCTCCTCCACCGCCGTTCACAACCCTTTGATTGTTGGCTCTTGATGCGTTTTTGACAATGAGCATCAGCTGGTTGTCAGTCGGTTGCCTCGGACGAGCTGCTCTGTCACAATTCTCAACACGGACAAGGCTAATTTAAAATTTCAAATATTGTAGAAATTGTGATAAATCATTAGAATTTGGTCAAATATGTGAATCATATTTAATAGATGCAATTAAAAGTATTCTTGGCTTTCATTTGATTTCCATTATTTGAAGCTCATTTTAATTTCGAACAATATCGAAATCTTTGATAAGTTCCTTAATTGATTGCAATCTAATTTCAAACAGGTTTCGATTGAAATTTACGCTTGCATCCGGCGGCATATTAAGAGCTGGCAAATCTGATTTAATACACTCTCCGAGTAGATGGAAAGTCACGCCTTTCACACAGCGCGTGCCATATTCAGCGCCGACCTTTTACCCAGCCATATATATTACATTTAATTTATTTAAAGCTCGCATTTTCACACTCTGACGCCGTCAACAATAAAGAGAAAAGCCGCACGAAACAAAAAAAAGAAGGAAAATCTCTGTTGCTGTAGAAAAGGGCAACATCGGAATACGGATATGGTTTCGGTTTTGTTTGGTGATCCGTTCTCTGTGTGCGAGTGCTTCTGTGTGTGTTTGTGTGTATTGTTCGTGTATTTGCATAAAAATTGCGCATACGCCGCGTAGTCGGCTTTAAAATTTGTGGCCCCAGCTCGCATTCAAGGTTGGGCTTCTATTTGAGAGTCTGTGCGAACAATTTTCTTATTCGCTTTTTCTTTGTTTTTTTTTTTATTTTTTCGTAATTATGGAAATTCGTCTGCCACAATGCAACAATGCGAGTAAAACCATTCAGACCGAAAATCATTGCCACACATGAGTTCGCTGTTTTGCACTGTCGCATGCGGCGGCAAAGTTTTATTTCCTTGGGTGTTTGTGTGTGTGTGTGTGTGTGTGTGCAGTCGCATTGTTTGGCATTACACAAATGGATATTAATAGTTGGCAACAGTTCTTGCTATATTTTTTACTGAATACCCAAATGATGATGCTGATAATGATGATGATAATGATGATGATGATGATGATGATGATGGACTCATTCATTGTTGTCGACTGGGTTTATTTTCAATTAATCACAGCCCGGCAAGGGGCACGCTTGGAAAGCAACAAAAAAGTCATGCATTTCAAGGTTGTCGCACAGACAAAAGCGTGGCGCAGCACTCGAATATGCAAAGCGCATGAATAAATGAATGCATGATTGAATGCACAAATGAATACCGCATAGCTGGCTTAAATAGCTGCCAGCGAGCGTGCACACTTTTTGTTATTTCGGTGTGGGGTTGCTTGGTTTTAATTGCCATTTGGCATTCCGAAACATGGCCATATTTCTTTGCTGTCAACGCCATTGTCTTTTAATAAAGCAGCCGAAAGGCTGGCCAGCGCTCGAGCTGGCCCGTAATATTGACAGGCCAACATAATAAACATAAATCAAGTGTTTCCATTGTGCCGTCGCTTTGGCCATGGCCATTGAGCAGCGTTGCCCTACTCAGTCTTCCTCTCTGATTATTTATCTTGAGCAATCTCCTGGCTGCTGCTACACATGCATATCATCAGTCGTCATCGCTTTTATTGTTGTTGCCACAATGTGCGGCACACAAGTGGCAGCGAAAGCGAAAGTGCGGCTGAGTCTACTACTTGACTGAGCCCATAAATAAGCCAAGCAAGCCCTTCCCGGCCAGCTTGACGCGCCATTTGGTGGGCGCCATGGGCGTGGCCGCCCATCATGTGCTTCCTGATTTTAGTCACAGTCACTGAGTTTAGCATGTGGCAAACAAATGTTGGCTACAGCTAGCTACATTTAAGAAATAAATAATTAATATGAATTCTTATTTGCATATATATCTTCCTATTATTAAGAGAACACTTGATTTCAATAAGAAAACGTACATATATGAATTATAATTTGAATATATTTTCATTTGAATCACTTTCGTATCAAACAACA